AGACAAATCGACATCGAGAAAGTATATATTTGTGGTTATCGATAGTTGCACTAAGTTTACTCGGTTATACGCAACTAAAACAACAAACACAAAAGAGATGATAAATGCGCTTAATGAATATTTTAGATCATATAGTAAGCCAAAGTGTATTATATCGGATAGGGATACTAGTTTTACTTCAGGTGATTTTAAGGAATTTACAGAAACGCATAATACTCAGCATATTAAGATTGCAACTGGTTCTCCGCAAGCAAACGGCCAAGTTGAGCGCGTGAACAGAACTATTGGGCCAATGATAGCAAAATTGATCAATCAAAAAGGGGGTACAAATTGGGTTTCTGTGTTAGAGCAGGTTGAATTTTGTCTCAATAACACGCATCACAGATCTATTAACGAACATCGAAGTGTTATGTTATTTGGAATAAGACAAAGGGGCAAAGTAGCGGATTATCTTCAAGAATCGTTAAATAATGTTAGTGGAAATGAAAATCAGGAATGTCGGACTCTCGACGAGATTAGAAGCAAGGCAGCTCAAGCTGAGAATAAAGTACAAAAATATAACGAGCAGTATGTCAATAGCAAGTGAAAACCGTCAGTTAAATATGTCAATGGAGATTATGTCATGGTAACAAATTTCGATTCAGCCGCCGGCATATCTAGAAAACTAATTCTCAAATTAAGAGGTCCTTATCGAGTCTCAAAAGTTTTTCGAAATGACCGTTACTTGTTGGAAGATGTAGAGAATTTTCAGCAACCCAGAACTCCTTATAAAGGCGCTTGGGCTGCTTCCAATATAAAACCTTGGTTCAAGGGTCGTGAAGGCTATGATGATCAGGAGATCACATAATCGGGATGGCCGAATTGTAGTAGAAATTGTAGTAGAATATTGCTAATAGTATGACCTAGATTTAGAGAATACAACCATGTAAATGCAAATGACCTAGATTTAAGAAATATAACGCTGTAGAAATACAACTCTGTAACTCTGGAAAGCGTCTGGCTACAGTCGCCAGAAGTGGGATTGATATCCCAAATTTTTTTTTAGTGTTTTGCGCCCTCGAACAAATATTTGGAGTGCATAATACCTGCTAGAGTTGCGGCAAAATTAAAAAGTTTATAGCGCTCACGGACA